AGAGTGTCCCACAAGAGTGTCCCGCAAGAGTGTCCTACAAGAGTGTCCCGCAAGAGTGTCCCACAAGAGTGTCCTGCAAGAGTGTCCCACAAGAGTGTCCCACAAGAGTGTCTCACAAGAGTGTCCCACAAGAGTGTCCTACAAGAGTGTCCTACAAGAGCGTCCTAGAAGAGAGTCTCACAAGAGTGTCCTATAAGAGTGTACCACAAGAGTGTCCTATAAGAGTGTACCACAAGAGTGTCCCACAAGAGTGTCCTACAAGAGTGTCCTACAAGAGTGTCCCACAAGAGTGTCCTACAAGAGTGTCCTAGAAGAGTCTCACAAGTGTCCCACCAGAGTGTTCTATAAGAGTGTCCCACAAGAGTGTCGTCCAAGAGTGTGGCACATGCAAGAGTGTCCCACAAGAGTGTCCCACAAGAGTATCCTACCAGAGTGTCCTGTAAGAGTGACCGACAAGAGTGTCCCACAAGAGTGTCCTACAAGAGCGTCATTTGGACATATGTAGTTTTTCGAACGTGGTTGCATTCGGGTTCGTTGGCTCCATCTTGTTCTTTTCTTCTCCACTTTGAAGGAGATGCTCCGTCACCCCCACTGGTGAGGCGTGTTGCGTCTTCAACTCCCTACAACTTCTACGACTTGATCCCCAATGACTTGGAGTCAATCCACCAGTACGCCGCCCACGCGGTATTGCACCAGTTCAGCCAACAAGAACAGCCTCGAGCAGCGGTCATCATGCCAGAACATACCGGCTTGACGAAGGTGGGAATCGAAGTGGTGAAGGCCATGCTTCGCAGGGATGACAAGATTCAACGTGTGTTGGTGGTGATGGACCACCTTCAGCTTGCAGGTGGGCTGGACCAATGGTCCGAGCTCCGAGATGTTCTTGGTGTAAACCCAATTTGCGTTGTCGATCGACATCGGTCAGGTAGAGTATATGCAGCCGACTGGGCAATATCTGCAGGCCTGGAAATAGCAGGTCGGCAAGTGCAGATCATAGACTCGTTGAACAGCGATCAGCGCCAGGTGTTTCTTCTCCCTTTCACACGATACAGTCGATTAAAGTCTGCCCTGGATCAGGTCAAGAACGTGAGCAAAAAGACATTTGACTTAGTCATTTGGGAATCCAGTCTAAGCACAACAATGGCTTGGTCTAGGTCTCGCGGTGGATCCAAGTTAGAGAAGAAACCTTTCCAGGAGTGGTTTGATGATGACTGTATTTCAGCGCGACACAGGCTGTTCCTTTCAAGCAGCACAGTTTCCTTTCGGTTCGCTCAATTCACAGGTCTTTTCGAGATTGCTGCAATGCAACCATTTGTGGCCAAATATGGAGCAATAGCATTTCATTTGCCAAGATCGGCAGCAGTGCAGAGGGGCCTCCTGCGACCAATCAAGGTCTTGCACTCGTCTTCGTTGAGTCTGAATTGTGTGAACCACAATGAGTTCAAATCACAGGCCGAAGCAGTTCAGCTATTTATGTCACAGTATACACCAAACCGGGTGTATGCGTTTGTGGCAAAACGGCTTGCTGCAGAGAAGCTGCAAGCTGAATTCGATGCCATGTCACCCAATGAAAGCAGACTCAAGTACGTTAGCATTCTGTCGAACATGAGTATTGAGGAGCGTGTTGATCGCTGCTCACAAATCTTTGCTGCGGAGGAACCTGGTGTGGTGATCAGTGTAAAAGTCATTCTCAGAAACAGAAGCTCTCTTCCAGCAGATGCAGCTTTGTGGTCAGCGTCCAAGACTAGCAGCATTGACTGTGGTTATATGCTCGGCCTTCTCAGCAAGCCATTTCCTGGAAGTCTTGGCCAGGGAGTGGTTTTGACTGTGGGAGATAGTGCAGAGGATACAACTCAAAGATCTCAAAGTACATTTGTGATAGTCATGGCAACGTTGGCAGCAGACGACCCATTCATAATCAACAGCCTGAAGAAGTTGGTCGTGCTTTGTGTGGCACAAGGGAGAGACCTTCCACTGGAAGAATGGCCCAACGAACTACAAGCCTTGATGGAGTGCGACTGCACGATGCCTCGACAAGTGCTTGCACAAGTGTATGAGCTCGCTAGCCTTTCCCTGCCAGATCATGATGCGCCACTTGGCCCAACATGAGGACAACCATGCCATAGGTCACTTCATGGTGTTTAGTATATATATATAATACATCTCCAAATGTTGATTCAAGCAAGATTCATGGCTTTGTTGGGTCGTTGTGCTTTGTGGCTCAGGGGAGACGGATCAAGTTTCCAGGTACTTCTGGAGCTGTGTGCTCCCGGCTTTCAATCACTCCATTCGTTCCTCTTGTTCAATTCAACCCTTTTTGCCTGAATTGCAAAATAGCAACAGCCTGGTTTTGCAATGGTGGATCAACTCCCAATACTGTACCTTGGAAACGGCCTTTTGAGGAACATTGTTCTATCACTTTAAAGCGATTCACAATGGATTGCGGGTATCACTTGACTGACGACATTTGGCAGGCAGAACTCATGCGGTTTTCCAGTATAGCCTGTAAACATCCATAAACCATTGCAGTTTACCATTGGTGTTTCAAAGGCCGCTGTATCTGAGGCAAGATTGGAACTTCAAAGCAGAGCTCTTGTCAGCTGTCCGAGTCCGGGATGGTGATGTGGACCTGTCGTTGAGCCACAAAGAGGCCACTTCGGCCCTGGGGGTCGAAGCCAGCAGAATCTCCAGCAAGTTCTTGCTTGTCTTTGGTGTTTACAGAACTTTCAAGTTAAACACCATGTTCACCAATTCCTCCAGGTCTGAGCCATCCAACTCATCCGGTCGCCTCCAACACTGCTCCGAGCCGGCGAGGCGGGCGTGGCTTTGGGTCTTTGGCTCCAAGAGCAGCGGAGCGCGGCACAGGAAGGACGCTTGGAGGTCCAGCGCTTCGAGCGTCTGGTGGATCTCGGGGTGCGCTTCGATGAGGGGCGGAAGACAAAGGACGGAGACGGGGGGCTTCGATTGGAGATGGTTTGGAATATGTCTTTGGATATCGGATGGGTTGGATGTGGGGAGTTGGAGGGGTGGATAGGATGATAGCCAGGGATGGGTTGGATATAGTTGGTTGTGGCACCTGATAGGGATGCTTCTGAATGTCAAGAGGGAATTATGGAAAGCATGTGTGTGAAGGAGAATCAAGATGCATCCTTGTTCAAGGTGGCTCTGTGGATAGGACTTGGCCAGGAGACAAAGACTGAGCTTGAATGGCAAAAGCGCTACAGGCAGGGTGTGAGTATCTGGTTCTTCTTTTACAGAGCACCTGTGCCATCGGCTTCAATGCATGCACGAGTTATGAAACCGATAATATCTATCTTTAAAAAAGTCAAAGTGACCAGAAACACCTACATAGTTAAACTACACGGTCTTCCTTGGAATTTTCCATAGACTTCCACTTGGATCTTCTACCGCTCTCCAAGCACTGCAGGCAGCTGCTTGGCTTCCGGCTCCGTGAGGGCGACTCTGACGTGGAAGGCCTCAGCAGCTGGGTGAAGCTCCAGCGGAGGCGCTGCAAAGCCGAGTCACTCGGAGGAGTGGAGCACTGCAGTGGGACCTGGACCAAGGGGGTGAATGAACCTTTTTGGTCCCTGAGATTGAACAACAACAACAACAACAGAGAACAACAACAGCTATGTCGCTATGTATGTCATCTTGCGTGATTGTGGCGACCAAGAACCAGATTTGTTGCGAGGCACACCTGATGAGTTCAGGCTATGAAGCTGCTATGGTTCATCGTTGTGGACGGAGGGTCCTGTTTGTTGGTTAAGTGGTCAAATCACCTCAACACCCTTTGAGTCCAATAGGAGGGTTTCTTGGACCCGCATGTCGATGTTGGTCAAGGCTTTGATCTAGCCTTGGATGGGATAAACTGAACATTCGTTGGAGCTAGCATGGTTTAGCTAGCCAATGTTCTTGGATAGGGCCCATTTCTCGAAAGGATGTCATCGAAGAGTAGATAAAGCATCTAGGAACTGAAAGAACCCATCAAGAAAGGGCAGAGGAGCAAAATAAGAAGAGGAACGACGATATTTTAAGGGTTTGGGTGTCAATATGGTTTGATATATATGCTTCCAAAATCGGGTTTCGAGCTGCCCCCAAAAAAGAAGGAACCAAACTTGTTTTGTTCCGGTGTCTTTCAGTCCTTGCTCAGGAAGCTGCCGAAAAGCCAGAAGACTTTACTGGAGCAGCTCGGCCTGGACATGGCCATGAAGACTCGAAAGGAGCCGCACTTGCGCGTTTGGTTTGGTGGTTGAGTCTCAGGGTGAAGAGATGGGCACTAAGCCGGGAGGATGGAGTTGTGGCATGGGAGTGTGGTGAAGGCAGATGAAACGGGCAAAAACGGGCACGGATCCTAGAACTGGATGCCGGGTTGTTCATGCTTTGACAGGCTTGTGGCAGATGATTTTGCTTGTGATTCATCCATAGGTTGGATAAGTCATCTCAGTGCACAGACCAGTTCTGTGTGCCTTACTCCAAGCTCTGCCCACCAAGACTGGATCTGCTTGTGAGGAGGAATCACAGAAAAAGATCTCGGCATTGAAGGCTTTCGTGCAAAGAGAAGGACACGCTGATGTACCTTCCTCTCACGAAGACGCTCGTCTTCTTGTTGATGTCCAGGGGGTCCGAAAGTGGTCCATAAAGCCCATCAAGCCAAAGTAGTCAAAGGACAAAGAAAGCCAAAGTAGTGTTTAAAGTAGCCAAAGTAGTATGACCAAAGTAACCAAACATGTCTTTGGTCATTTGGACCCCCAAAGTGGTCATGGTGCCCTCGTGGGATGTCTAGATGCCACACGTTTTGCTGTTTTCAGGAAGGCGATGTGAAGCTGGGCAGCTGGATCTCCCACGTCCGCTCGCGCTACAAAGCAAACCTCCTGGATAAGGATTTGGCACAACAGCTGAGAGAACTGGGCCTCTCTTTGGAGATGAAGAGTCTCCAGTGGAATGATACTTGTCAACTAATGGTTCGGGTGAGATGGTTCAATCCAGGTGGATCCTCACGATCCTTTATCGAGCTTGATAGTCCATAGGCAGCTTCAACTACAATGACATGTCAGTGTGATTGATATTGATTCAGATAGATTGTCCGATTGCCGCCTGTCTTTCAGGTGGAGTCCACCACCTGTTCGCTTGTTCTTTTCCGGTTCACCGCATATTTCCGGCACGAGCACGCGAGCGATGCGGTCCGTGACCGCGTCGAGGATTACATCTCGGCGCTGGACACCTATGCGGACCGTGAAGGTCACGTGGACGTCCCATTGGATCACGTCGAGGGGAACTTGGCCCTGGGAAGATGGTGCTTCGGCACATGAAGCGCTGCCAACGCTGTGGGGCACATGAAGAATCGAGCTGGGGTAGCTCTGAAATGAGGCCCACCCAGCACACGATAAGTTCCTGCGTATTAGGTGTGCCATATCCTTTGATGGGTCATTTTAAGGAATCATGCCAGTTCACATCATTTCATAGGATGTCTCAGGGGTGTCAAGGCCAAATGGTCACACAAATAAGATCTATAAGGCATGAGTAGGTTGGTGTCCATGGATTTTGTGTGTGTGTGTGTGATCTATGATTCAGGCCTACTCAACCAGAAGGGAAACACATGAATGTCAACTCATGAGACTCATTAATGTCAACTCAATAAGGTTTGTTTGGGCCCCTTAACTAATCGGGAGAGTTGGTAAAGATCTAGTCTTTGAGGAGAGATGGTCAAGATTGAATCCGTTCACGAGGAGAGTTTGCCAAGACTAAGCCTCGTCATGGTTGGTAAACAATTTTTGGGGGCGGTTACTAGGTGCTCAATTTTGGAGAATTGGCCAGAAGATGTTGAAATGAAAGGCGGTTAGCATTTGTCGGAAATAGTTGTGCCAAACAAATAGGGAGGTTCCTTAAACTACATATTACTGTATATCATGTGTTGGCATTACTGTATATAGTTGGTGTTCGTGGTTGTTCCACTGAGGCTGGAGAGTCAGCGAAGTCGTTCGCTCCATGGAGGTCACCTGTTGTTTCCCATGTTCGTTGACAGACAGTGCGTTGGGTGAGAACCAACTGCAAACACTGCAAACAATTAAAGTGTGTTCCATTTCGTTCCATTTGGAGGTTTAGCACTTTTGTTAGGGAAGTGAGGTCTTCATGGAGTATACTACAGTGAATGGGGGTTGAGTAGATACTGAGGATTGGATTGCAGATGCTTGCAGTCTTGTGGCATGTAGGCACAGGGTCGAGCAACCCTCGCCAGGATTGGATCCTAAAGCAAAGGCTGAACTGGAGAAGAGAGGGGTGAACATGGATTCGGTAGCGGCATGTTGGTTCTGGAACTATCGACTTCTGGAGCGCTTCGTGAAGACAGAAGGCTGCTAGTCATGGGTTTGGAGGTCAGGTATTTCAGACCACAAAATGTTCGAAGGACCTGTGCATAGGAAGAGTGGATGAACAAATGCGTTGGCAAGTTACAAAGGCAACAATGGAGGACAAAGAAGGCCCAAGCTCCCTTCAAGCAGCCAAGAAGATGCGATAAACACCTGAAGAGCTTGCAGCATCAGAGTTGTCTTCAAGTCGTCAATTCTGTGACTACAGTTCCCACCTGCTTTTGGGCACGGGAAGGTTGGGGTCATCGTAAGGATCTTATAAAATTACTGTGCCACAAGTCCTTGTCCCCTTGCGTCCCTGATCATCAACCTTTTTTCCGAAGTTCCAGACCCTCGCCCATCCAAACCTGCTACATAGGGCGATGTGCAGGTGTGCAACGATGTTTCTGGTTCTGGTTTCTTGCGCCCTTTAACTGAGGTCACACGCAAGTGCCGGAAAATGACGACCTTAAAAGCGCCTTGCTGACAGCGAGCAAAACACCTGAACATATGCGCAGAGGATCATCCAATGCATGGAAGAACATTCACCTATTCGGAATTCGTGCTTTCCTCAATTCAAAAGATCATTTCAAGGTCAATGACACTCTCCATCATACTAAGACATTCTGTGTGGTGCCACTGGACATAGAATATAAGAGCTTTTTTTGTGAACGACAACAGGTTCCACTGTTGGCATTGATGGTTGAGATTGACCAAGAGCCACCATGTGTTCACAATATGGCGAACCATCATGGCTTTGTTCAAAACGATGAGGCATCCCGTGACAATTTTTGGAAACAACAGGCGCTGTAAATGGTAATTTGCTGTAACTTACTATTTAGCTGAAGGGCAATAAGAATAACTGAATTAAGGATACCTTATTGTGTCTCAGGCAGTGCTTTTGGACATCCTCAAAATCATCCCATGCCAAGCTGCCTTGAAAGCCAAGGGTGGATATACACCCAGCAGTTGAAGTTCCGGGACGGCAAGTTGTCACTAGACAAGATCCATGCCCTCCAAAAGCTTGGGGTCGAGCTGGAAGAGAAGCTGCCAATAGGCTGGTCAGGAAGCTGTGGATTGCTTTCCTATGTTTGTTCTGCTTGTATGTCAATGTGTCAATGTGACGGGAATCCCGAACCATATGGTTCCTATCGTTCCATTTTGAGGTTCAGTTTGCAGATTCAATAGCTGTTCAATGAGTAGGGCCCCCAGTTTGGGGTTAATGATAGCGCAGGTGGTGAGAATGCAAAGGAAAGTGCCGAGAAGATCAAGAAGGCGGCGGCAGCAAGTGTGCCATTGGAGTTCCAATGATTGCACGGGGTTGCAAGATGCTGCAAGACCCTTTGCACTCTTTTGCTCGACCCAATGGCAGGAGCAGAAGCTGAGCAAGGTTAACAAGAAAGCAAAGAAATGAAGACCGGACCCGCTCAGTGATGTGAGTGCCGAGGTTCAGAGCCAGAGTTTGTCTTTAAATTGGCACCCTGTTTGTGCAGCAGCGCAGTCCGTCAAATGCCATTGCTCTAGTGCCGGGCCTGTCGCTGTGTCTGGTGTCATGACTTCAACCACGACTCTTGTCGTTCAACGGATTGATCCACAAGTCACACATGCAAAATTAGAAACTGAAGCTGGCCCTCTTGGTAATATGAGTGGCTCCATTGTCAATTGGTTCACAGGGCACCCCTTCAATTTAGTTACGCAGCCAAACACCCAGCTGGTATCAGCGAATCAGCGAAGAGGGGCTGACTTCTTAGTTGTTCACCTTCAGGGAGATTGAACAGCAGCGTCGTGCGAGGGGTCGATGGCCTGGGCGTCAATCACCTTCGCCAATGATTGGAGTGCAAAAGAGTTCTGGAAGGTCTACAGGACTCAGGTCGTGTTGGGGGAGATGCAGCTGTTCCATGCAAAGGATTATTGTTATAGTTATGGCTTACATTTGTTTTCCAGGCCCTCCTGTGCGAGTTCCAGCGGCCGCAAGTTTATTTGTTATAATTTGATATACAAGTCCAGGGGAAGAGTTTGATCCTTTCTTTTGCAAGTGAAGCAGACTCGGAAGAACATGTTTTTGAACTCCCCTCAGAGCTGCAGATTCATCAAAGGCAATTCTGTGACTCCAGAAACTCCGGATCTAAGTCATTTCGCCACTCACGGTATTGCTCCAAGGTGGGCTCCCAGGTGATCCTTTGCTTCCTGAATTTCTTCTGGACCTCGGAGGCTGAGAGGGATGGGAGACGTTGCATTCAGGAGCATGGAACCAATCGCAGTCTGTTGAAAGTCTCCGTCAGATTGTGACATGCAATCCGTCTGCGGCTCAACGGACCTCAGTGGTTGAGGTCTATCCGCAGTCTCGACTTCAAGTGTTCTCACACGGAGGAGCATGTGGGTATAGGCTACTGGTTCTTCACGAATGCACACCAGCCATTTCGATCGATTGGAAAAAGATGGAAAAAGAAGATCAAGACAGGGACGCTGATACATCCTTCCTTGGACTAAGAAGGGAGTCCAAAAAGAAAGGCTTGGTCACCTTGTCGTCTCTTCTTCGAATGCCATCGAGCATCAGCCATGGTGCTGTATTCTGGGACTATTTGTTTAACCCTCCCCGCTCCAATGCCGAGTGGGTAGTTCAATATGGTTCACCCAAAGTCAAGTTACTTCAATCAGTTTAACATGTTTTGGATGTCCCATACCGGTCGAACAAGATCGGCTATGTTGTCTTCTCCTGCTGCAAAAGGCTAGCATTGCCCTTCCAATTCTTCAAGTAACCAATCCAACCAACACGGTCGTTCTCCTCTCTCTCTCTCTCTGCCTGGGTTTGAACATCATCGCAGCAAAGTTCCCTTCATCACAAGCAGCGGTCGGGCGCTGCGCTGTGGAGAAGCCGCTGTAGAATCCTAAGTTTTGGTTTGGACTAGGTGGGTTTGATCCAGAGATTGTGGCTCCCACAAGCCAGCTCCTTTCCTCCTGGAGCATCGCTTCCGCTTGCGCAGTACAAAGGGGCGAACATAGTGTGAATACAAAGAAGCAGCCCGAATCTACGGTTAAACCTTGGAAAAGGATGTCACCTGTTCCAACATCTGACATGCAGGGCTGGACTGAAAATTTCAAATTCAAAAGAGCAAATGGCCAGGACACGATTCGTAAAAGGCACAGACCAGAAACACTACAGTGAACGGTGTGGAAAGAAGGTATGTCATGGTTCATGGTCGCCCTTGCTTGATTCCTTTTAAGTTGTGCTTTCCGAAGAGTTTCTACTAGCTTCTTGTTACTACTAGTAAGGCACTTGTTACTAGAAGCGATGCACTTGTTACTAGTAGCTTCTTGTTTCTCCTTGCACGGCAAAAACTGGGTTTGTTCCACCCCGCAGGTGCTGATGGGGATGTGGGAGACTCAGATGGGATGGGTGTCCAGACGGGCAGTCCCTCAACCAACACACAGACAGAGGGTGCATATGATCCATTCTGGTTCCCCTTGCTTGGTCACAGTGCCGAAAATAGCCCAACTGATGAGCAAGGTTGAGTGAGATGTTTTGGGTCTGAAGTAGATCAAAACTATCCAAATGTTCCCCTTGATGTGAAATTATCGTTAGATAACTTTAGGCTCTTTGATATTCATGGGTGATGGAGAGAAGGCCATATTGCCTAGTGAAAAACCTGTTTGCAACTGTTCATGATATTATTGAAGAACTCTCTTGTCCACCTTTGGATGGCTGTGCTTATGTGCAGGCTTCGAAAGAAGGGAAGCCTCAAGGAGGAATGATGCAGATTGCCTTGATTGAGCACTCGACCAGCACAGTTATTTTGTATTGGCGTTGCCCTGAAGACTGCCCGAAGACTTTGATACGTGCTCGCTTGCATGGGGATGTCTCCACCCTCCCAGGCAGTTGTTGATACATGTTCTTCCATGACATGCTAAATGTAATGCTTTAAAAGAATGGCTGGGCTTTGTTGTTTGAGTCATCCTCAGATGAGCACGCAGATCACGATTGTTGCTTTTGAATGGCAAGCCGACCGGGAACTCAAGGATTCCAGGAAACCCATTCCTTGCAAAGTCTTGGCTTTGCATGTGGGCAATCGGCGTGTACATACGGCTTGATGGAGTACAAGCATGGAATTGGTGAAGTTCTGATGTTTAGGGCTCAGGGTACCTGATGTTTGCATCATTTGCCAGCTGGCCAAATTGGCCAAGGTGGAGTGACCGCTGAATCATGTGGTGTGGCTATTCTTTAGCGGGCTCATTTTCGTGACACTAGGGCAGACAGCATCCTATACCAGCCATTGTGAACGTCTCAAAGCACAATTGTTGGAGGCATTGACACATCACACTAGTGGTGTTTTAACTTGCTTCGCCTAGCAAGAGACATGTACAGGCTGTTCGGAGAACGGTTGCCATCCAATTTTCCTGCAGCAGGATTTGCTTTGACCAGCTTTGTCCCTTGAATAGACAGTGATCTTGAACGACTGGCTCAGTGAGATGTTTTTGCCGCCGGTGTTCGCTGTGGCCTCATCAAATTTGACCTGCTTGGCACTGGCCACGCTGTCCTGCTGCAAACCGCGACGCTCCCATGCTGGGACCCAGCGCCGGCAACGCCGTGAGCGCGAGAACTGAGACCCAGTCCGTACAGCGCGAGATTAATAAATGTGTCATGCAGGGAATGCATAGGAGATCTCAAGAATGGAACCTACCCAAGCCAAATGATTTGTAGGTATCATTGTAATCCATTTGTCGATGAGTTACATGCAAAGGCTTAGAGGAGCCATCCAAATATTTTTTTCCAGTCATAGGGTCCTAAGGGTTGGTTCCCTCTCAGACCCAGCATCATGCTTCTTGGCTCCACCCAGATTTACAAATCTCATTCTTATGGACATCTCCAGCAGAAAGGCGTCAACGAGAATCATATTATATATATAAGGTCTTTCTGCAGGCTGAAGTCGAGCAAGAGATGCTGGATCCCACTGGCAGAACCCTTTGCTTTGTCGGTGTACATCCAGACCTTGGCAGAACAGGTTGGACATTTTAGAATATTCAAGGACTCAGAACCTATGCGATCAGTGAGTCGTTCTTAGTCTGGCATCCACTCCACTCTTTTTTGTGATTTGCTCTTGTACCAGTCGACTAACATACTGTACATCCATGTTGTCATGGCCCAGCAGTGTTGTCTTCAAAGGTAAGTAGAGACACCATAAAAATTGGGAGCTTTACATTCATGCATATGCCCTTGGAATGCCTGGCAGCTGAGTTTGGGCTGGAGCTCAACAATAATTAATTTGTATCCAGCTTCGATGACAAATCCATCCGTGCTCAATTCAGATATATTTACATCTTAACATCAAAGAGATGCAAACCGTTATCATGTCAATATTCTCATGGCTTTCATAGAGCCATGCCGTTGCAGCAATCGTGCCTTTGCTGTCGCAAGTTGATTTGCTTACTATGCTTGGTTTGCCCAGGCAGATGCATCAGACTGGACTCCAAAGTGATCCTCAATGCAACCCGCTCCAATGAAACTTTATGGCGATATTTCTTTCCTCAACATCCAACTTGGGATGTGTCTAAGAACTGGGTCCCATACACTGAGTGCCTCATCGAGGATCAATGCTGGTGCTTCCACGTTGAAGGTTCAATGTCCAAAGTTCTGAACCCTCGTGGTGCAGAGAAGGCCTTTACTCTTGCTACAGGTACTCCTCAGGACTGTCTTTGGGATAGGGGATGTTTCGACAACAATGTTCAATGACTTTAGTAATATAGTTTGTTCGTTGTTTTGTCATAATGACTAAAGTTACTAAAGGTAGGCCAGGGCGCAAACTGGCAGACTCCACCAGCTTCCAGCTTGAGCTTGTTTTTTATATAGGACACTCTCAACTCTAGCGGCTCACCTCAACATGCGGCACAGACTCAGGACTTGACGAGGTCAAGCCAAGCAAAAGAAGACTGTAGCTGCTTTGTGCCTTCGTGTCCAAGTTGTTGCCTCTTCAGCGACATGCGGCCGGCCAAATTGCTGGCGGCCATTGCGTTGATGCGGAAGCTGAAGATCACCCACGTGGTGGAAGATGGCCGTTACGGTGGCTTGTTCAGATCCGAGGAAGAAAACACAGTCTCATGGAGAATCAAGAACCTCCCCGCTGTGATTATTGAAAGGCCTCAGGAAGCCAGGAAACACATTCGTGTTACATGGGTTAAACAACAAACGTCTGAAGTCCTCAATCAGTAGAGCAACTCCAACCTTTTGTCCTCGTAAGTGTTTCTCTGTAACATGCTGTGTTTTTCCTACTCTGCTCCAAAGCCAATCAACATTTGTCTACATCATACCCTAGCATCCACCTCCATGCCATTTTGAGGTGGCCTTTCTGCGTTGATCTATGCCCTCCATGGCTTTCATGTGACTTCTATTGAGTTTTTGCCCTTGGGCCACGTCTCTGCTGCCCTTGGCAGCCACGGCAACGTGCACTTGGTAGACGGGGACTCCCGGCAGAAGGTCGTGGAGGTGATTGAGGAGCTGCAGACGTCCAACGCAGCCGTGGCAGTGATTTTTGATGGGCTGAAGCGATTTGAAGCCTATGAGGTTTATCAAAAGAGTCATGACTCAAAGCTTGGTTGGCTTTCAGCCAAGGGCCAACGGTGGTTTTTTACTGTGTGTTTTCTTGGTCGTTTGAAGTTTGGAGCCTTAGGTTTAATTGCATCATGAATGGATCTAGTCAACTAGTAACTATATAGTCTTAGTCATATTTTCCTTCCGCTTTGGCAGTTTGCAGTATATAAGTCCAGCTTTGCGCGAGCCATTGAGGCTGTGACACGGCCAGCAGTCGTTGTACCAATCAATTGATTCAAGTCAACGTGTTTGTTTCAGTGGACGGGCAACCCCGTAATCTATAAAGTTCAGACAGATTCAAGCTTTTGATTCGGGAGGCCTTTCGTGGGTTGTTCATTAGTACTTCTTGCCTCAATGGCAGAGCATGACTACGCTTACATCTTTTTCCTCCCATGTAGGCGACAGGCCCAGACCAATCAGACCCATCAGTTTCTTGATCTTTCAAGGCCCTAAAACAGTCGACCATCGATATTTCTTCACATCCAAGGATTGCATCAAAGGTGAGTCTCGCCATTTTCGATGATACGAACATCCGTGATGGCTTTGCTTTTCGTCAAATGCTCCATGAACGGAACCACAGCTCTTGGAGTACGGACTCTCGCACCTTTGGCCGTGTTCTGCGTGCTGAGGAGCCGGTGTTGCAGTCCCTTTTGCAACCCTTGCGTGGTAGGAAGTTTATGGGAGGCATGGAGAAGCTCGGACGTTTTCACTACACTATGGTCGAAGGTGGTCAATGGCCCAGCGAGGGTGTTTGTGAGGCGTGGTAGCTATCTATTCAACTTGCCCTGCCCAAAGATAGGAGAGGGCACCGCAAGCTGCAAGCTGCATACAAAAAAGGTCCACCGATTTTTGCTAGCGGGTTCAACGTATGCTATCCATGGGTGATCTGGAGGTCATGTGCTTCCTGTGTAGCGGCATGCAGAGCCCTTCAAAGCCCTTCCTTAGCAGCGCAGAACACGCTGTTTGGATAGACCTCAAAAGGTCCGATTTGCCAACCCTCAAACACCTCACAACCACGGGCAGGAGGAGAATGACAGCATGTGAGTGATGTCACAATGTAAACTTGGAAGATCCTGGAACTATATATAATGGAGCCAAATTCATGGGGTTCGACATGTTTCAACTTTGGCTCCAAGAATCGTCTTCAGAAATCGTTCCGTACTTGCACCCCGTTTGCCCGTTTGCGCAGCAGTTTCTGATAATTATACAAGATGATATGTCACTCTGAAGTCCAGAAGTCATCAAACTATCACACATTTCAATACGTTCACTATGAACAACGGTGGTGGATTGTGGACAATTTCAATCAAAGAAGTTGTGGTTTTCTTTGTCTATAAGTGATATGATATGCGATATGCACATATGTTTGTTTCGCTTAGTGGTTCAGCATTTACCTTGAAAGGGACCTGAGCCAGCACCCTTTCCTTTTCGTCGCTGAGCACCGCATAGTGCTTGGGGTTCCACCTGCCTTTGGCATGACCATGACGGATGCTTCTGGAAGACCTTTGTGTCATGCCTGTGCAAAGGTTAGACGTTGGGTTCAACAGTAAAATCAATTAAAGACACATCTTCAAGAGGTGGATGAATGAATGATGTCCATATAGGGTGGGTCATTGAATCATTGATGTCGTCCGTCTGGAAGAAAAGAAATACATTTCTTGAATTGCAGATGAGGAAATCATATCCTCGTGAAATATATGGAGTTCCGCCAAAAGTATATAATCAAAGAACTTAGATAAAGGATTTTTGTGCGAATTTCCTCTAAAAAATCAGACAACCCGGGTTGCCATAAAAAAACAAAAACGGATGAACATATACAGTGCCAGTCTATAACTGGAACCTGGGGGTTCCCAATAAGGCCAAGAGGGGGTTGATTTATTAGATACTTTGGTTGTCGAGCGTTAGCTCGAGAATGGGGTGAATCTTTCAGAGAAAAGAGTCTTTGCAAAACCAGATTTGTAGATCCTAGCATGGACTTAACACACAGATGCAGAGATCACACCAGGATCATCTATAAATGGTATTAGGATATATTAGGACATATTAGGATTATATAAATTTTTATTTATTTGCAAGTTTTTGGTCCAATAGCATTTGGATTCATAATGAAATTGAAGATTAATAACGATAATTATTGATAATCTATGATAATCTATTTTATATGTTAATAGAATAATTTTGAAGGATATTGGATGATTAAATAGGGTCTAATGATTTTTTCTACATTTATATTGATTTTTATTTATGCATGGATTGATTTGGTTGAATTCGAATTTAGATTATTATTTTTTAGTTTTTTTGAATTTTTAAATGGTTAATTCTTTAGTAGATGTAATTTGATTATTGATTCTTTAAAGAATGTTTTTGATTTTTTAGTGTTATTTTTGGATATTGAATTTGGTGATTTTTAAAGAATTGATAATTTGGGTATGAGTGCGAATTGGAGGGGGATGGGATTAAAAGTAGTTTATGATATTTATTTTTTAAATATTTTTAAAGGTTCTGAGGTTTTAGGCATCCCTTGTATATCTCTAATATTCTTAGGTTGTTTTTTAAATTGTTGGTAAAATTGTTTTAATTATTTTAAAAATTGTTTTAAAATTGTTTAATTGTTTCTAAAATTATTTTTAAAATTATTTTAATTTTTTGTAATATTGTTCGAACATTGTTTAATTGTTTTTAAAATTGTTTAATTGTTTCTAAAATTGTTCTAAAGTTATTTAATTGTTTCTAAAATTGTTTTTAAATTTGCTTAAGTGTTCTATAAATTATTTCTAAAATTGTTTGATTGTTTTAAGCATCGTTTGTAGCATTGGAAAGATCGTCAAATTGCTTTTTAAATTGTGAAATTAGTTGGATTATTTGGATATATAGCAATTTGTAAATTTGAAATATTTGTCGTTATTGTTTGAACATGTGGAGAAAGCATGCTTTGCAAACATGACCGAATTAGCGAACGGCGCCAATTAACGAATGTATTTTTTTTTAAATTTAAATTGGCAGCCAGCAAGTTATTAAGCAAAATCTTAGCCTTAGTCCATCTCCCTACCTGGCCAGTGGCCTTGGCTGCCGTTTTTTTTTTTTTTTTCAACAAAGCCATTGCAGCCAAGGCAGTTGCCACATCTTCTGAGCCGGGATCACTTGCATCGTCTCGTCGAGGAATCCATGGGAGGGACGCGACCCTAGCTTGGAACATGGCCATAGCCACTGGGAGCGCCATGGCGTTGCCGGTAAGGCCTTGGAGGAAAGAATGAGAAGAGCAAGCAGCAGGCAGGCTGCATTTATCTTGGAGGAGCAAAATGGGAAAGCCTTAAAACATCAGAGCTTCCTCACCTACCATGAGTCGCTGGCGCGACACCATCCACAGCTGCTGCCCTGGTAGCATGGTCGGCGCCAGTTGTTTGGGGCTACATTCTCTTTGCCAGCTGACAAAGCCTCTACGTCCAAAGCCTTGACAGCTCTTAGGTTCAGGAGAATACGGCTTTCAATCTCTGCCAAGACAAACTCACCAAGTTGCTTTGACCCTATGGCAGCTTGCAAGCTCTTCATAGAAGGTTTGCTGAGCAGGACTACTCATAAAACTTGTCATACTCATTGTAGAGGCAATTCTGAGCAGCTTTGGCCAAAGCTAGCCTCAAAGTATAGCAGGTTCCCAAAGATTCAACGCCCAACAGTTCCAGGTGCTTGCTGCTCTCCTCAACAGACGTGACCACAGACTCTGGAGAAGAAGTTGGGCTTGATACTGCTGTGAACAGGTTCTGGAAAGCCAAAGCTGCTGCCTCTAGGGAGTCGAGGTCTTTGAGTTCATTGTCGAACAAGTCCCTGTTGGAGCTTTTGTCCATTCGCTTGCTGTGTTCCCTGGCCTGTCTACCAATGGACTTGACTTCAGCAATTCGATCGGCGCAGCTCTGCTTGAAGGTAGCTTGGGTGTGGGCGTCAGGCTCTGGCACTGCGTCATCGACCTTCACCTTTGCCAACTTGGACTTCAGTTCAACAACTTTGTCCTGCAGGTTGCGCAAGGCCCTTTGGGCTCGCCCATCTGCAAGCAGTGTGTTTCCACTGTCCTGACTGCCCTGCTTCCCAAAGCCTATTGATGATGACGACGCCTCCCCTTTGGCATCACGACCTCTTGGGCCAGGCTGTTGCGATCCTGGCCTGTGGCCGCAATTGAAGGCCTGCTGGTTGAGGGCTTGCTGCTGGCTGTGGCTGGATTGCTGGCTTGCTGCTCGCCGCGTCTACCAGGCTTCTTCTTTGCGTCAAGGTTTGCTGGAGCCTGATGTTGTTTTGGTTTGCTGGGGCCAAAAAAGGAAGCAGACAATCCATTTTTTCTGATCCACTGCTGCTTTTAGTGCCTTCTGAGCTTGAGTCATCCTGACTGTCTTCGACTGCTGCCTGGTGAGCGGCCGCAAGTTTTGATTTGGGCGAACTCGGCTGGTAGCCTCCCTGGCGCAAGGCGTCGAGGACTCCTTCCAGACGGAGCTCAGAGCCTTTGCTTTCCACTGCCATTTTGTCTCGCTGCAGGGACCCTTGATTGATCTGCTCCAATGCTGCTTTCCTCTTCCTAGCAAGGCCTTCGTCTAAGCCTGTGCGACTGTCGTGAACCAACTCAGACTCCTGCAGGGCTGAGTCCTGGTACTCTTCATAGTCATACATTTTTTTTGCTAGCATGAATCCAAATTCCTTTCACATCTCTACCCCAGAGCACTTCCTTGGTGGAGTCGTAGTCCCCATACTGTTGGGAGTCCCATGCCTCCTGAGTAACAAACTGTTTCTTGGGGGCGATAAATTTGCCACCTGTGCTTCTGGTCATCTGCATTTGCTTCAAGGCTTCCTGGAGCTCCTTCTTGCTCTGAAGGCGTTTGCGAGTGGGCCCGCCTTCATTGTGCTGTCGGACCCAGGCTTTGCGGGAGGCTAGAAACCCTCTATGATCATTCTGGTTTGCCTTCTTCGACACGTGCTTGTAGTAGTCATCCACGCTCTTATGCTCGTTGTGAAGGCCTTAGGACTGGGGGCCTGCTGCCTTTTTGGTCTGCTTGCCTTAGGACTGGGGGGCCTACTCAAATGCCTTGGGCAAAGGCACAGATTGCTTTAAAAAACGGTGGGGGCTTTAAGCAACCTTAGCCAGGATACCCAGGGCCCGATATACGTTAAAACATATCAGGCACAGCCTGCCACTTGGAACGCGGACAGTCTCCCCAGAGTCTTCCTCTTTCGCTTTCTCGTAGCTGCGCCAAGGCAGGCGTCCTTCCACCTCAGGGAAGATCTCATCAGTGGGGTACTCTAAGGGGGACTCGTCAGTGGAGCGGCCATTGCACAACTGGCAGCAACGCGGCTTCTGCAAGGTCAAGCTAATGCGGGCAAGGCCACCTGCCAAGGAAGCTGCTGTTGAGGCTCGCCCACTCCTGGCCCGTGGCCTTGGCAACCCGGCCTGTGGCCGAGGACTGTCTACACAGGCGTCTTCAGCAGCTGGCTGTTCACTCTCGGCGCTTTCAGAACTCTCTGAAGTGCTCGCCATGGCTGGCCAAGGGCCAAGGCTTGTCAAAAGGCTGGTGGCCACTTGAGTGAGAGCGATTGCACACATTGCAGAAAATATGTCTAAAACATTCAAACAATATCGCAAACAATTGCGAAAACAATGTAAGAATGTGATGTGTACGGAAAACCATGAGTTGTGTACGGAAAACAATGAGTTGTGTACGGAAAACCATGAGTTGTGTACGGATCTAAAATTGTTACATTGCTTCTAAAATTGATATGAAATTGTTCGAAATGTTCCAAATATTCTAATAAATCTTTGTGACGTTTGGCTTGTGACTTTTGGAAGCCAACCGCTGATACTGACAGGTGGCCCTCGCTTTTTGAAACCACTCGCCCAACCAAGCTACAAGGCCCACAAGGGCGTCCAAGGCTTCTGAATCCAGGCCATCTGCAAATTGGGCCAGCTGGATCCCACCCATGCTAACGTGGCAATCGCGCTTGTTGCTCCCCCAAGACGTCGCATCAAGACCACTTACCAACCACCTTTTCAGTCTGAATTGACACTCAGCGTCTGACAGGCCAGACTTTGACATAGCCTTTTTGCACTGTAGGCCAGGGCGGTTGGTGTCTGTGTGG